GTTGATCCCTCTGCTGGAGTTCATCTAAGCTTTGCTGGGCTAGCTGGAGTGAGGTGCTAGCAAAATAACTACAGGTGAGGCGATTTTCAACAGGGTGCTGTCGCCACCTACTGCGTGAAGAGAGTAACTGCATGCCGGAGCAGTCCTTAGATAATAATAATAATTGCTTACACTTATATAGCGCTTTTCACTTTATATAGCTCTCAGTGGGGAGGAGAGCAGAGGGATGAAGCCAGTTCATAGATGGGGATTATTAGGAGGCCATGATTGGTAAAGGCCAGGGGGAAATTTGGCCAGGACGCCAGGGTTGCACCCCTACTCTTTTCTAGAAACACCCTGGGATTTTTAATGACCACAGGGACTCTGGACCTCGGTTTTACGTCTCATCTGAAGGACGGCGCCTGTTTACAGTACAGTGTTCCTGTCACTATACTGGGGCATTAGGACCCACATGGACCGCAGGGTGAGCGCCCCCTGCTGGCCCCACTGACACCTCTTCCAGCAGCAACCTTAGTGTTTCCCAGGAGGTCTCCCCTCCAGGTACTGACCAGGCTCACACCTGCTGAGCTCCAGTGGGTTGCCAGCTGTGAGCTGCAGGGTGATATGGCTTCTGGCATATCTGGCTGGCTCTAAAGACAGAGAAAGACTGCAGGCGGCAGAGAGAGAGAGCTTAGCTGACCCTGAGCCTCAGGAGACCTCCAGAAGGACCCACTGTGTGTGTCTGACCCTACACCCCCAGGTGACCTCATCCCACGGCACCAGCAGGTCTTCCGGTCCAATGTGTTCTTCAGTGGAGTCAGCATCCCGGAGCCCGACACCACGGTAACGCTCACTGCCGGGTTCGCCCGCCGCGATCTCGGACGCCCCAGTTTTACTGTCCTGATCGATGCTGATTGATACTGGTGGATTGTCCCTAGGAGCCCCTGGAGAAGCGGTACCACAGTGCGTCTCCTCAGGCCCTGGCTGTGCTCAAGGTGAGATAGCCCACGGTGGAGTAGGCCTGGCCCTGTCCTGCTGGGACAGTCTCCTTCCGGACACGACGGCTTCCAGCCACACGCATACGGGGGCCAAACACACGTACCTGTAGGTCGCATGTCCATTTTCACTGAAGACACAGATTTCATTTCTGTCTCCCCACAGTATCAGAACAGCATCCCGGCTTCTGCCTCAGCGCAGTGTCAGTGTACAGCAGTGTGTATTAAC